TCAGAGATTTCAGTAATTTCTTCGAAACAGGTAGAATTCGAATTTTGTTTTCGTCTTTTTTCGTTTCTATTTTACATATATAAATCCACAATTGCAGGGACCGATTTTTGGTAGCAGGAACCGCCCATTTTGGTAATTGGAGTTTGTATGACGAGCGCATCGGAGCTGTTCTACAGCCGGAGGTCTCGATTCGGTCGGAATTCGGATCCTTTCGGTGTCGGGGCGGATTTGGATTCTCCTCCGCCTCCCGATCGGACCAATCGCCGCACTCGCCATTTCAACAGTCACGCTCGCCGCGATCGGCTCGAGCCCGACGGATGCGATCCTTTCCGACGGTCGATTCACCAGCTCAGGCAACCCCCACACCGCCGTCCTCAAGTGAGGATCCTATATTCGGATGTTGAAGGTGAAATCCCTGCTGCAAATTCACCCCAATTTCATCAAATTGATAAATCTTGAAAACTTATATTCGGATGTTGAAGGTGGAAAGTAGGTTTCAACTAAGGAAGCATTTCTTGTCCAGTCGAGAATGCCTATAGTTTCTTTGCCAGGTTACTGACTTTAGGAAGACGATGATGATAATTTCCGTTTTCTCTTTTTTTTTTTGTTTATTTTTTTTAATGATTTATTTATATTTAATATATAGCAGTTAAGTGGATTGACGAATTTACCCCCATAAATCTCACGTGAAACGCACATTATTTAACATTCCGTTCAAAATTGCCGGAAAATTGAGTTTAGGGGGCACCGTGCAACGAAAAATGTAGTTTAGGTAAAAACGTGCAAAAAAATTTTGTTTGGGGGGTAAAGTGCAAAACGGCCCTTAGTTTAGGGGGCAAACTGCTTTTTACTCTAATAATAAAACGTATCAAAAGTGCCTTAAGAAATATTCTAGTACTTGCCCTATCAATCTTGATGCCCCTAAAGATTTCTTAAATAGTGCACCAAATGATCTTAATACTTATAATTAGAGCGATCATATTCTTTAAGTCCCTTTTACCTTAACCTTAAGGAAACTTTAATTCCGAAAAAAAACTAGTTGGTCGTTCTTTTTAAAAGGTAAAATCAAGATCTATGCACCCTTAATAATAAGTAAATTATGCTATAAAGCACAAGAACCAAAATTAACATTGACAGATAACGCAGAAGCGGAAGCATGAACTAAATAGAGAACATAAACAAGAAGACATGCTCACAACTACTATTATGTCATAAAAAATATCAAATAGAATCTATGTATGTATGACATAATTAAACGGAATTGGGTTCATTTATCATAAAATACCTAGCCCAATGTTAACTTGACATTATGGACAACTCGTTAACTTTTAAGCGGCAACCTTTTATAAATAAATATTGACGGTAAACTATCGTGTCAAACAATAAATCTACCTTAGGGCCAATTTACAGCTCACATGAAATTCTAATAACCGTCACATATTTATTATGTATCAACCACAAATTCAAATAAAGGTATATTCCATCTCAAGATATCGGGCACTCCATTAATAACTTATCTTTGGACAATGATATTAACTTGTAAGTGATATCTTGGTGTAGTAATCAAACACTGACAATAAGAGCACATCAAATAATAATTCTACCTTAGGGCCAAACTATTATTCACATGCAAAACACCAAATAATCGCCACGCGTTTACCACCACAATATGCACATGCAATTAAGCAAAGTATTGGCCTTCCTTAGGGCCGACACAATACCCACATTATTACATGCACAAAACCTTTTGTATTTTAAAATAAATTAAGTTTCACAGGAGAGCTCACTTAGGCGAGATGCTGCTTCTCTTAATTCATATCAAAATACATAAACCAAACCAATATTTGAATTTTAACTGAATTTAAGCCTTTAGACTTTCTCAAACGATCTTTAGTCAGAGGCCTAATTAAATTACCTTATGAACCCAAATTTCACGTTATTTAGATTTAAAGTCAAAATAAAGTCGACTAGAAATCTTCACTTTATAACCCAAAGATGAGCCTAAACCATAAATCATAAAATTCATATTTATTTGAATTTGAGCTTAAAGTACAAAAATGAGCTCACAAATTCAACCTTTTTAGATTTAAAGCCAACAATAAATTTCGGACAAATGAATCCAAATTCTTATGAATTTTCACAAAACAATGAAGACTCAAATTTATAAAAAAGTCACGAGTCTACGTGCCAAATATCGATTGGGTCAAAGCTTATTGAGTTATACATGATAACTCATACATATATTGACAAACAAACGAAACTTTAATGAGTCAAAACCAATTGAATTATAATAATTCATATCCATAATTTGACTAATTAATCCAAAAAAAAAAAACTCGAACTTTAGAAATCTGAAATTCCCCAAAATAAAATGCCTTAGGAAACTCAATTGAAATTCAAACTGAATCTCAATTTATTGATCAAACAAGTTCTTAAAGAGAATTAAAAAATAATTCACTTATTCGTTTGATTCTTCGTAAAACTTAAATTTCAAGTGGCCCCAAAACCTTTGGTAAAAACTTAAAATCAATTTTTCGTTCCTTAAAAATTGCCTTTGCCCTAAAACCAGAAAATCTTTCAACTTAAAGGACTGAATTGAAAATTTGAAAGAAAAGTCTTTGAGTGAAAAAAGGACATGAGATTCAGAAATACTTAAATTGGGGGTTAAAAATAAATTTTCTGAATGTATATCACAGTTTTGAGGGAGACTTAAAAAAACAGGAACTGAAATGCAATTTTCGAAAGCTTAAGGCTGTAATGCAGATTTTTTCGTTATTTCAAATCGACCCCGGCCCAAAAAATCAGTAATAACTTAAATTTAGGGGACTTGAATAGCAATTTCGAAAACTTTAATTAAACAGCCCTAATTGACTTCTTCAACTAGACACACGCCGCCACCATCTCATCTCCCTAATCTGGCTCCACCACCCCTGATTTCCGCTGGAAACATACAACCCACGAGCATAGACGCCGCCAGAATCAACCGGCGGCGCCAATCGAGGCACTTTCAGCAAATTGTGCCGCCATTGTCGCGAACGACATAGGTACACAGATCTGCCACCTCCGCCACCGAAGACTGAACGGAGATGGTCCTGAGTGTGGCTGCCTCGTTGGCTGCCCTGAATCGGGATGGATTTCCGCACTCGTCTCGCCGGAACCGAATGGCGAGATAGGCGAAAACTGGAAAAAACCCATTCCCCGTTTCCCTTATGTGGCTGTAGTTTGTGGGAAATATGAAAGAAATGATGGTGGTGTGAGAATCATTGCAGCGGTGGTGCCGAAGGATGGCTCGGCCGGAAAACCAAATCAGCCGCCATTCATTCACCGTTGCAAATTGGAATTTCAGACCGTAAACTTTATCCTTAATTTTCAGATTTGATTCCTTTAACCTTAATTCTTATTCTTAATGAATGAATCCTTAAAACTTTAATCCGAATTTTCAAATTCAGGCAACAATTGTGCAATTCACTTAATATGAATAAAATATCATATATAATCATGAAACCCTAATTCAGAAAAGCTAATACCTAATACAAGGCAACAGGTTTCATAATATTAATATAGACATATCTGATTCGAGATTAAAACCTAATTGCAGAACGTACTGAATATCATATAAATATCTGGCCGAAACTTTGAAAATTAAATTCATGAAAAACATAGATTTCTCGTAATAACAACTTGACGAGAATTGTTAAAATTCTCGATGATTCAAAACATGGTGGCTCTGATACCACTTGTTGGAATAAACTTGAATAAATCCCATGGAACCGTCATGCCGAATCATCAAGAATATTGTGCATAAATATAAATCGGAAGCGTACCTTACTTCGTAATTCATTCATGGAATTGATATGGAACGACCATGGATCTTCCAGATCATCATGTACATCCGAACCCGAGAACCCTTTAGACTTCTCTTCGTTTTCTTTATGTCGATGGAATACATAGAGAATGGAATTCGTACATGTGACCCGGGGACCATGACCAATATATATAGATAACCTAATGGGTTATCTTGTGTAATTTTATTTTAGCCCATCACTATAATAAAATTACCCTAATGTCTCTACACATTAAAGGCCCACACCCTATTAGACACATTAAAGCCCAATCCAGATAAACTTTAGTCGATCACTTTAACGGGCTTAACTTTACGTGACAGTCTTGCAACACATAATATTTCACATATAAGTCCAACGTTGGATTAATGTTCCAACAAAAACCACCATGTGTTCTATTTGATGACATATTTTGCAGGTTTGAATCATATTAAAAAAAAAATTGACAGGTATGTAATAAACATATATATTGGTGAGTGGACAATCATTGGAATTATCTTCTATGAATGCAATTATTAAAATAAATAGACGTGAACGATGATGATCGTCGTGTAATATGCCAACCATTATATAATTAATTAAATTCATAAGTCAATGAAGTTATATGTCCCACATCATTTTTGATCTTTTAAATATTATGAGGTCAACTAGTATTTCATTTCTTTTTCATCAAATCAAAGTTATTTTGTATAGTAAATTGAAATTATACGAGAGACATAAATCACACTGAATTAAATAACTTTTATCTCAATTGATTGAAGTCACTCACACAAATTAGTTTTGCTTCAAATACTTGATGCAAGGACTTTTGTTATTTAGATTTTTTAAAAGATGTAAGAATGAATAAAGTAAAATTCCGTTTGATTTCTGTAATAAAAAAAAAAAAAGAAAAAGAAAAAAAAAAAGCATTTCCAATAATTTTTTTAATTTTATGCAATCTATAATTTGGTGGGACCCAGTAACTCATTTATATATATTTATCATTTTCTAGTGGACTATATAAAGGACATAATGTATGAGCCATTTTGTTGCATATATGTGGCAAACACATTTCTTCAAATTCTATAGAGTTCGTAAAGGAAAGATGGGGCTGAGTGGTAAGATGGTTTCTCAAATAGCCGTAAAATCCGAGGGAGATGTGTTTTACATATATCAGACATGAGCCCTTCTCACGTTCAGAACTGTGATTTGCAAGAAGGTCAGTGGGGAACCGTCGGCTCCACCGTCTACTTCAACTACACCCATGGTAATTAGCTAGCTACTTTGAATATTAATATTATTTTAGTAAGGGCAGAATTCACTTTCAATCTCTGAATTATGGATTGTACCGCATACATACTGCTCCTCAAATTATGAAACGTACTAAATACCTCCTATTTTTCTTGGTCAAACTTGCAAAAATGTAAAGACACTAGTTTCGTAATATTTTCATGTGCAATTACAATCTTACCCCCACTCTTTGTCTATGGAAAATATGTATGAACTTTAGCGTTTTAAAATATTTCAACAAAAAAAAAAAGATTTTTGTGCATAAGTCTCCAACCAAGCATCTTTATTATTCTAAAAATTTTGACCCAAAACTTTTTTTTGTCAAAATTTTTTTTTTGCCGCCGGATTCCGGCATTGACTTTTCAATTATTTTTTTATTTTTTTTTTCTTCTGGATTTTTTCGCCGATCTCCGGCATTGACTTTTTCGAATTTTTTTTCTTTTCTTTTCTTCCGGATTTTTTCGCCGGTTTCCGGCGTTGATCGGCGGTCTACGACGTTGATTTTTTTTAGTGTTTTTTTATTATATTTTTATTATTTTTTTACGTTCGCCGCTAAACGTTGACCGTAATTGTGCTGTCACTGACAGTTTATTAATGTAATTATACTGTAAATGACAATTAATTAACATAATTGTACTGCCGTTGACAATACATTTATGTAATTGTTCTGCCGTTGACAGTAAATTAACGTAGTATTATTATTTTTTACTTCTTGTTATTTTTTTTTATTTTTTTTGATTTGTTGGCAAGTTAACGTAATTATATTATTGTCGTTGACAGTAAAATAATTGTAAACACAATAATATTACTGTCAACAACATCAATATTATTATTTTTTTTTGTTTTTTGTTTTGTTTGAGTTATTCGCGGAGTAACGTAATAATATTACTGTCTATTATTGTAATATTATTGTAAACATAATAATATTACTGTGGTTGACGGTAATATTACTGTTGTTATAGTAATATTGCTGTCAACCACATCAATATTATTATTTTGTTTGGATTTTTTTGTTTGTTTGAGTTATTCACGGAGTAACGTAAATATTATTATCTATTATTGTAATATTATTGTGGTTGACGGTAATATTACTGTTGTTATAGTAATATTATTGTCACTCACAGTAATATTAATTCTTTTGGTTTTTTATTATGCTTACATTTGTTGAACGGTCAACATAGTAATATTACTCTATTACACTATAATAATGAGTTTTGTTGTGTTAATATTACTGTGTTAAACTGTAGTTTAGTTAATTTTACTGTGTTTAACAGTAATATAGTTAATATTACTGTCAATCACAACAATGTTGTTGTTTAAACGAAAAGAAAAAAAATGTTACAGACAGAAAAAAAAAAATCAAAACAGTCAACGCCGGAAATCGGCGAAAAAATCCGGAAGAAAAAAAATAATAATATTATTTGGAAAAGTCAACGCCGGAATCCGGCGGGAAAAAAAATTTGAATTTTTTTTTATTTGAACGGTAGCCCCGACCTAAATGGCTTACGGTCCACTCCTGTATTTATGCAAAATATTAGATGGTAAAGAGAGGGTAGCAAAAGAAATAATTGAGGCATTAGACGAAGAAAATAAGTCGGTGACATACAAAGTGATTGAAGGAGATTTGATGGAGCTTTACAAGACATTCAAACTGACTGTTCGTGTTGACACAACTGGAGAAGACAATGTTGTCACTTGGACTTTCGAATACGAGAAATTGAGTGAGGATATTCCTGATCCCCACACTCTCATGGAGTTTTTCGGTACGATGACTAAAAGTATTGACTCTCACCATATATCCAAAAATACTTAGTTAATGATGTTATATATGTCTTTGTATCTTGTATTTATGTACTTGAATTTGTGATGTTATAAATAATTAATGGATGATGATGATGATGTCTCCATATATCTTGTGCTAAAGTTATGTACCTTGTGATGTGATTAATAAAGGAGTTTTGCCATCATCCCACAATGATATGTTTAATTTGAAGGGTTCATTAAGTGGGTACATATATTACATGGGCTGTTAGTGAGAACTCCCTCTAGTCTTATTTTAATGAGTAATTTTAGGGGTGAGAAAAAAAAAACCGAAAAACTGAGGAATCGAACCGAAAACCGACAAAATTGAACCGAATTGCACCGAACCGAAGCATAAACCGCATACTCGGTTTTCAATTTTATGTGAACCAAAAATTTCGGTTCGGATTCGGTTTTCCAAGTAGGAAACCGAACCGAAGAACCGAACCAACATCAATACAACGTCGTTTCATTAAATATATATATATTTTTTTACTTGAATGAATTTCATTGATTTTTGGTCCTGTTTTGAGCCTACATTTGGATTTGTTTTTTATTGATTTTTTTTTAATTTCTGAATTTTGAGTTGATTTATTGAATTTTTGGGCTAATTTTCGGGCCCAAATGAGCCCAAAACCGAACCGAAAACCGAACTATGAACCGAAACCGATCGGAACCGGACCGCAAGAAACCTATCGGTTAGATTTTTGGTTCTTTAGGAACCGAACACTTCAGTTCCGGATCCGGTTTGTGCCTAAAATCGAACCGAACCGACCCGTTCTCACCCCTAAGTAATTTGACTCGTGCGATGCATGATTTTGGAAAAAAAAAGTAATAATGCAAATTAAATCAATTTATTAGCAATTCATGAATCTTCAGAAGACACAAATTTTTTTTTTTTTAAACAGTTTGTGACGATTAGTAAATCTACTTGTGCAATACTCTACCTGTCCGATGCACGAAAAATCGACATTCTCAAAAATTATATAAAAACGCATAAAACAATAAAAAAGGAATAAAAAATATCTCAATGGAAAACATAGTTATAACAAAAATATCGTAAAAAGTCTTTGATTGATGTTACTCATAATATATGGTTCGCCAACGAAATAAAGCACTATATAAGCTAACTATATAGTGGCAGTTGATTTGAGAGCCTATTCGCAGAATTTCATTGACGTGACGGTGGAATGCCTTGTGAGTTTTCAAAAATGGCGGCTAACCGGCTTCTATGGTTTTCCGGAGAAGCAACGCAAACGTCTGTCGTGGGAACTTCTTCGCACACTGGGAGGGCAAAACCAGTTACCATGGATTGTGGGGGGTGATTTTAACGAGATTCTTCATGCATCCGAGAAGATGGGAGGACCAGCTCGTGAGCCTCATTCCATGGAGATTTTTAGGGAAGCTCTTGACGACTGCGGGCTGTCGGACATTGGATGGGAGGGCAAACAATTTACCTGGACCAACAATCGCGAACATCCGCATACTGTTCGGAGCCGTCTGGATAGGGTTTGTGTGAACGGGTCGTGGGCGGGTCTTTTTCCCCATGCAGTAGTCCGACATCTTGATCACACTGGATCAGACCACTCACCAATCTTATTGATTCCACAAGGGATGGAGCCTAGAACAAGACCTATGAGGAAGAGGCCCTTCCGTTTCGAGGCAATGTGGGCAAGTAGGAGTGACTGCGAGGAGATTGTTAAGCGAGCGTGGGAATTGGGGCAGGGGTTAGATGAGGTGTCGACGCTATTGCAGCATACTACGGATTGTAGGATGGCTTTGATGCAATGGAGCAAAGCTGTGGTCAAGGCTCCCGACAAAGAGATTCAAGAAATCACCCAAAGAATTAATGAATTGCGTGACATGCGGCAAACGACGACTACTAGGGCTGAATATCGCGAACTTCAAGGTCAGTTGGAGAAATTGATGGGGGACCGTGACATGTACTGGAGGAAAAGAAGTAAGGCTCAGTGGGTGAGAGACGGGGATAGAAATACTAAATTTTTCCACGCCCGAGCGACGAGCAGAAAAAAACAAAATCGGGTGGACAAGATCCGCGACCAGTTCGGTAATTGGCAGAGTTCTGAGGCAGGAATTGAGAGGGTTATTCAGCAATATTTTGACCATATTTTCAGCTCTTCTAATCCGTCGGAATTAGAGATGGATGAGATCTTAAATGAATTTGAGCCAAGAGTGGGGAGCGAGGCGAACCAAAGGCTGTCTCTGCCATTTACGGCGTTGGAGGTAACTTTAGCTCTTTCACAAATGTCTCCCCTTAAATCCCCTGGTCCGGATGGTCTTCCGGTTTTCTTTTTTAACAAATATTGGAAAATTATTGGTTATAATGTTACCTCCTGTGTTTTGAACCTTTTGAATAATCGACACCTTCCCAATAGGCTTAATTTCACTTTTATTGTGCTAATCCCAAAAAAATTGAAACCTGAGCGTATTACTGAGTATCGACCTATTAGTCTTTGTAATGTGATCTATAAGATTGGGTCTAAAATGATTGCTAATAGACTTAAACCGCTTTTGAATTCTATCATCTCACCCACCCAATCGGCATTTATACCGAACCGTCTTATCACGGACAATATTCTGGTTGCCTACGAAGTGAATCATTTTATCCGAACATGCCCTAATCGAACGAATAAGCATATGGCCGTTAAACTTGACATTAGCAAGGCTTACGATCGAGTTGAATGGACTTTTCTTCGGAAGATCCTTACCAAAATCGGTTTCTTGCCTAATTTTATAGATCTCATTTTGCTTTGTGTATCAATTGTCTCCTACTCATTTTTATTCAATGGTTCGCAATTTGGTTTTGTCTCCCCTTCTCGGGGATTACGGCAGGGTGATCCTCTTTCGCCCTATCTCTTTTTATTTTGTGCAGAGGTGCTCATCTTTATGATACAGGAGGAGGTAGCAAGGGGCGAACTTCAGGGAGTTAAGGTGGCCCCGATGGCGCCGGTTATCACCAACTTATGCTTTGCAGATGATACTCTTATCTTCTGCCGAGCATCGGAAGGAAATGCCGAAAGTTTGAAGAGTGTGCTCGGGCGCTTTGCTGCGATATCCGGGCTTGAAATTAACCAAGAGAAGACACACATGAATTTTAGCCAACAAACCCCGTTGGAGCAAAGGGATCGTATTCAGCAGATTCTAGGATTCCAGGTAATTGACAGGCACGACAAATATTTGGGTATGTCCGCTTCGATGGGGCGAACCCGGAAGGAGGTTTTTGCATACCTTCGGGAACGACTTTGGAGCCGAATTAAAGGTTGGGGAGAAAAACACTTATCGCAGGCCGGTAAAGAGGTACTCATTAAAGCGGTGTTGCAAGCAATTCCGGCGTTCATTATGAGCTGCTTTATGCTTCCGGCAGGTCTCTTATCAGACCTTGAGGCGGCCATTAGAAGATTCTGGTGGGGTAATGGAGTGGGAAAGAGGATGAATTGGATTGCATGGGACAAAATGTGCCGCAGCAAGAGGGACGGGGGGATGGGATTTCGGGATTTGAAACGGTTTAACTTAGCGATGCTATCAAAACAACTTTGGAGAATTCTCACATCTCCAAACTCTCTACTGTCACAAATACTCAAGGCTCGTTATTTTCCCCAATCGGATATTTTTCGCGCTACACTGGGTCCGAGGCCTTCGGCGACTTGGCGGAGCTTCTTGCTTGCTCGTGATGGTTTTATTCAGGGACTTCGTCGGAAGATTGGCAACGGACGGGATACCTCTATTTGGGGGGAGGCATGGCTCAGAGAGGATGGTAACTCGCGAATCATTACCAAACGGCCGATGACGACACCTTTTCCAGACCGGGTCTGGGATTTGCTGGACCATACTACCATGCAGTGGAATGTGGGGTTGATTATGCAGACCTTCTGGCCCATTGACCATGAAAGAATTCTCTCTACTCCGGTGGGGTGTCCTTCGGCGAGCGATAGGTGGGTCTGGAAGTTCTCCCATAATGGGCGATTCTCGGTGAGGTCGTGCTACTTTATGTTGCTAAACTCGGGGTTTGGGATGAGAGAAGGAATTCAGGGCAGTGACGGGGGCAGTGGGGACGATCCTGGAAAGAGTGGAAACTCCTTTGGGAACTTCGAATCCCACCAAAGGTACGGGTGTTTTGGTGGCGAGCATGCTCCGATATTATTCCAACTGCAGCTACGTTATTCAGACGGAGGATCGCATCGTCGCCGTCTTGTTTCCGCTGCGGGGAACGGGTGGAAACACTCATACATGCGGTACATGGGTGTACTGAAAATCGGCAGGTTTGGAGTGGACATGTATTTAAATTACGCCCGATCGCGGACTCTTGCTCGACATGGCAATGGTTCAATCAATTGAGTGAGATGCTGGGAAGGGACAAACTGGAGATGGCTACCATTGTTACGTGGAAACTTTGGGAAATTCGCAATCGGAAATTACATTGTGAGTTAGCTATGGATTTTTCGGAGGTGCTGAGTTGGTGCGACAATTTCTTGGCGGTGTATCGGCAACAATTACAACCTTCTCCCCCGTCAAGTCGTGTAGAACGTACGGAGGTTTGGATTCCACCGCCGCCAGACTCACATAAGGTAAATTTCGATGCAGCCTTTCCGGTAGGATCGAACTTTTATCGCATTGCTGCTGTGGCTCGTGACTCTCAAGGAATGTGCATTAAATGGGTGACAAAGCGCATTAGGGGCAGACCTAGCGTGGCCGATGGTGAGGCGCACGCAGCCATGCTTGCGGCAGAATTGGCAGCACGACACACATGGCGCTCGGTCATCTTGGAAGGGGACTGCAAGACGATCATAGACGCAGCTAACGAGGGCGACTTCCACACATATTCCTTCGGCGCCTACTTGGAAGGAATCTTCAATCTGTTAACATCTGTTTCGCATTTAAAATTTCAGTTTGTTCGACGTTCTTGTAACCGTCTAGCTCATTATTTAGCTTCCTTTGATTCTTCTGACTGTTGTGAGGGTGACTCTTTACCTCCGCATTTAGCCGATTTGGCATATTGAGCTAATATATGGGTCGTTTCTCTCAAAAAAAAAAAAGCTAACTATACTCGTTGTGAATAAAAATGTATAGTTCAGACAATGAAAAATCATAAGCAGCATACGAAACTTTCAAAATTTCTAAATGTATGTTCACGATAAAAAAGATGTATAAGAAAAATATCAAATCGAAGTTGAACAGATAAATTTGAAAAGTTAAACTTGTATTTTCGATAAAATAATAAAATGCTAGAAAATTTGTTCTATTTAAAAAAAAGTAAAACTTTATTATTATAGGGAAAATTTGACAAAACCCCCTCATTACACAAGTGTCATTACAATAGACCCAATTTTATTTTACATTTTTAAGATAAATCCAAAACAACTTTTATTAATTAAAAACACTTAATTATCACCATTATACCCCTAACTAACAAACAAGGTATCTTTAATTTTGATATTAAAAGATATATAATATATATTCCTTATATATCTTAAATAACACCTTGGGTCCTACTACAAACCGCCATGGACCCGCCTATCATAAACCCGTTAAAAACCCAGAAGTTCGGTTCTTCAAAATCAAGAACCGTTGTTTGACGGGACGAGGGCGGGTTTTGATAGAACCCGCGGGTTTATGGCCCGCGCACACCCCTAGAATGAATGTAATTTCGAAATTAGTTGATGCCGACCAAACCCAGTTAAGCTTGAATTATTAATCTCGACTTTTCAAATATGCATGAGCACCACATTTTAAATACACAAGACGTAATTGAAAAGAATAAAATTATATATCATGGTTTAACAAAGCATTAAATTGAATGCAATATTACTGGTGCAAACAGCTTACAAAAAAGTACCCACAAAATTGCATAAAAAGCCCATTTGTAGCTAGAGTTATCAACCCCAAAAAATGTTATGTTTTAATGGATTATCAAAGCCCAACAACTCAATCAGGAGTTATCTCGAGAAAATTGTAGATGTATGTACATGTTTGTTTTGCTTGAACGTTATGTTGTTGTTTATCCGAGCATGAAAGCGAATTTGTAATTATACATAGTGGTTTTCATGTTTACATAGTCGTTATACATAATAGTTTTCATGTTTAAATAGCTGTTATACATAGTGGTTTTCATGTTTACATAGCTGTTATACATAGTGGTTTTCATGTTTACATAGCTTTTATACAGAGTGGTTTTCATGTTTATATAGTTGTTTATACAGAGTAGTTTTCATGTTTATATAGTTGTTTATACAGAGTGGTTTTCATGTTTATATAGGTGTTTATACATAGTGGTTTTCATGTTTACATTGTTGTTTATACAGAGTAGTTTTCATGTGTGGATTATACTAATTTAACAATGAATTACACTGATTTAACAGTGGATTGCACTAATTTAATAGTGAATTACATTAATATTAATGTGGATTATGTTTATTTTATAGTAAATTTTACTTTAATTTTATAGTAATTTTCGATAAATTCAGTGGTTTTCGATGAGTATGTAGTGGATTTCAATTTGTTTTTAAATATTAACCATTTAAAAAACTGAAGAAAGAAAAAATATTTTTTGTTTTAAATTGTAAAAAAAAACCATTAAAAATTAAATAAGAAATTGGGAAAGAATTAACTAAAATTACGTGAAATATGAGATATGGGGAAATAATAGGGGATGGATATCTACCAAAATTTTAATGAATTTTTCCACAATAATATAATATATTAATTTTCAATAATAGTAAATAGGGACATCTTGGACAATTAGAATCAATTGGATTTATAACAAATATCAATTAAAAAAAATGGATTTATTAAGAAGTCAAAATTCAATAAAGGGTGTTTGTGAAAGAGCCCCATTATTATAACCCTAATTCTGACAAATTTTATTTTGAACTAAAAGTAACAGGATATTCTATGTAATCGTATAATTTTATAATTTTTGAAAATTGAGTTATCATAAAGATTAAAGAGTTGTACAAACTACACACCACATATTTTATCCAAGGTTTGCAAGTATGCAAGAAATGAAATTGCATAAATGTTATTCTTATCTTTAACTTTAACAATTATGTCACAGACAAAATAACAAACTTTGAGATGTAATAAAAATAAAATCCAACAATTTAAAGGTTATTTTGAATTATATCTTAATTCTTGAATTACCAATGATTGCAAAATTGATGTTTACAAATTCATTTTGGAATATAAAACTCTAAAAAAGTACTACTTAAACTTAGTCTACAAAATAATTTTTTAATCCGGAAACCAAAAAAAAAAAAAATAGAAAAATTCTTGGAGTTAACATAGAAAGTAAACTAAACTTGTGTACTTTACTTTCACCCCATTTAAAACATTATTACATTGACATGTTGTAGTGAATTCAAAATTATTATTTATTTAAGCTAAAATGGTATGATAACGTCACTGATCAAAGAATGTTATTTATTACACATTGCATTATGTTATTAATTAAGATTAACCTTGAAATAAATGATATTGATGAATTCGAGAAACACCAAAATAAATCAAAGAATTTATCATGATCAAATATTTTTTTCCCATGCAAGAGTGGAAACGTATATACCAGCGAGAGAAGTGAGTAGCAAAGAAAAAAATGACGCAAATAGAGCAGAATTTTGCAGCTATAAAAAAATTCAATGGCCATCAATAATAAAAAAAATCAACCTAAATTAAGCTCCACCTTCTCGAAGATTTTTCATGTATAAATTAATATATAGCAATTTATTTTAGTTATTTTCTTCTGATTTTATATTCATATTGATTTCAATTTTAGAATAATTTTATTTCATCATAAATTTTGATACATCAGTAGAACATGAAATTTTACACTTATTTGATTTTATTTAAAAATAATTTTTTTTTATAAAATAGTAAAATACAGTATGTAACTTTTATTAATCAATCATAAGTTATATATATTAAGTAAAATCATATGTAATCACGTGCAATGCACGTGGTGTTTGCTAGTTATGATTAAATAGTTGATTATATTACTTGATTATTTGATTCACATTATTATTGTATTCGATTTAATTTTAACACGTAGCCAAACATCCATGCTAATTGATTGTGCTAAACCGATGAATTTAAATTTATTAAAACTGCATGATAACAAAAACTTGTTATGATCACTCTGGTCATTAATTTACACCTTTCAGTGTAAGTCCATCGATCAGATTCATATGTAGTAGTATAAAACAATCAACAAGTAAGAAAAGGATAAGGAACGAAACCATATGCATATATAAAATTAAAAACTAGTGGTGGAAACAACACCCAACAACTCCAAACTTTGTAATACTATTTCCTATAGTAACTATATAAAATGCAGAAGGTATGGGTCATTTTTTTTTTTTTTTTGTGTCAATAATAAAGCCATTGTTCTTGATCAATTATGTTGGTTTAGAAATATAGTAGAAAGAAATACAATGGGTTTGAAAGGAAAGCTAGTGTCCCAAATAGACATAAAATCGGAGGGAGATGTGTTCCACGAGATCTTCAGTGAGAAACAACACCACGTATCCTTCCCAGATTCAGAATTGCGATTTACACGACGGCCAATGGGGTACCGTTGGCTCCGTCATCTACTTGAACTACACCCACCCATGGTAATTAATAGTATTATTCGTAATCCGTTTTTAACTTTCTTAGCTTGCACTTTGAATAATTGGTCTATTTACCGTTTCAAACAAAAGTTTAAGCTGTTAGTGAAATGGATTATTTAATATTAATATTTCCAATAATCTATGATTAACAATAGATGGTAAAGAGAGGGTGGCGAAAGAGATAATTGAGGCGATAGACGAGGAAAAGAAGTCGGTGACATACAAAGTGATTGAAGGAGATCTGATGGAGCTATACAAGACATTCAAACTGACTGTCCATGTCGACACATCTGGGGATGACAACCTCGTCACTTGGACTTTCGAGTACGAGAAACTGAACGAGGATATTTCTGATCCCCACACTCCTCATGGATTTTGCCTTGCAATGACTAAA